AAAGTTAACAACTAATTTTAATAACATATTTTATGTGATTCATAACTTTTTAACTTTTATCAAAATTTACTAAAAATTTAATTTTAATCCCCATCAAATATGGACAAAATTACAATAGATTTGAACTTTTTCTCCTTTCTCTCACGACTCTCTCCCTCGCGCATTTTACCAAAACCTTAATCTTTCTATTTAATTTTTTTTTTATAATTTCTCTACAAATTATCACATCCACTACGAATTTTCATTTTCCAATCAACTTTTCAACTAATTAGAACTTATATTTGCATTTTCTCCTATTAAATTGTGTATATAGAATATGTGTGAAATGATTATATCCAATTTGACTTATATTTAACGAATTATATTTATTTGATTGATTATTGGTATTGAATATTAGTTATATGTTTTTCATTTCAATTACTTGAATTGATTATTTGTATTAAATACACTATAAATTCTTTAAGAGTGTGTTTGATTTGCATGGAAAATATCTCATAGAAAAGAAAATGTTTTCCTTAAAAATAAGGAAAATTAGGTAAATTTTCAAAAGTTGGAAAAAATAGCAATTAAACACTCTAAAATCGAAATTTGGATGAAAAGTAACATTTTATGGAAAATAAATGCAATCAAACAAGCCCTAAAAATAAATATGCATTTTCTTGTGATGAACAAAATATTACTAAAATGATTGTTCAAAATCAAATGCATAAAAATGATGAGTAAAATATTAATGAAAGATTTTTTTAAACATAAATACGCATTTTTTGAGGTTAAGTATGAATCTTTCAAAATATAAGAACAAAGTGTTTGATTTGTATAGAGTTTGATTGTGCTTTCTAATTCAAAATGCCTGTATCCATCACTGTTTGTACTTAATGAAGTTTGCAATAATTGAACTTAAAGCTTGTCGATGATCCTCGATATGACATCTAATGTGCATTTATGATCATTCTTTTTGTAAAGTGTTTTGAGCATACTCATTTTTCCAACTTAACAATGA